TAAGATGAAAAACATACCCATATTTTATATATTTATTTTACATTTTATTAATTTATTATGTTTAAATATTGGAATTTAATTATAATTTATCATTTTGTGGCAGATTGAAGATATTCAAGAATAATAATTTAAAAACGCAATTTTAGAGGATAATGCGGACTTCACCAAACTGGAAAGAGTTCAATGGATAAATACAGACACAATTATTATGGCGGGAAGCTTCAATTTGAGAATTATGAATTTTTAGAATATTTTGTAAATAAAGAGATATAATCAAAGTAGGAAACATAATCCTCAATTGATTAAGAACTCTTTTATTTAATTTATTTTCTTTTAAAAATGATATTTCCCAATTAGTTAGGAATTCCTTATTAGAGATAATTCTTCTTTAAAAGAGGATAAAGTTAAATCTCTATAAATAGAGAAGCCTTATTGGGAGATCCATCATCCAAGTTCCAACGAAAAGCTCTCTTCTCCAAAATTCAGTTATCTCCCTCTACCATGAGTGAATAGGCTTTAATTCTTCCAACTCAAGGGTGCTTCAAGTCCGATTGTAAGCTTGGGAGGCTCAAGTTAGATAGAGATTTCTTCTTTTTTCAAGTTTTCTTTGTTTCTTGTTCTTATTATTTATGAACAGTTTATATTAATTAAATTGACGCCTTAATTCATATTAATTGTTCTACTGCTATCCATGAGTTTGTGATCCGTAATTGTCATGAATGATTGAAATAAGTAGCAAGGGGTTGGCTTATGTGTGTGTATTATGGCTTTTCCATGTTTACATAGCTGGTATAATAGACTTTAGGGAAACAAAGGGACAAAATTAATTAACTTGCAGCTATCTCAAATTAATTAATTTTGGTTTAGTCATTCTCATTATCCTTGTTGGAGGCGAATCCTGGCCTGCCACGTGTCATGATCGAAAAGGTGAGTTGGTTAAACACGCGGGCGAAATGGAGAAAGCGACTCCAAAATACTCAGGTCGGCAGTCAGGGTAGGACCTATAGTGC